TTTTAAACTGCCCGCCTTTTTTTTTTTTTATGGACATTTTTTTTTAAAAAAAAAATTTTTTTAAATTTTTTTTTTTTTTTTTTTTTTTTTTTGTTGAAATAGAAAAAAAAACGATGGACATTGAAAATGAGATATGGAAATGTGTGTGTGTGTGTTGTGTTATGTTGTTTGTAAATAAATTATCATTTTATTCAAACATTTATTATCGAATATCAATATCGTTTAGGTGGTATCGTGTGTCTTTTTTCACCTGACATCATCGACAACATTACATATAGCAAATCACTACTGTGGCAAATGTGATTTGCTGTTGTTTGTTTGTTTGTTGGCCATTTAAAAGAATGAAGATATATGTTTAAAATGAAGAAAAAAAATTCTTCGTTTAAACATCTCAATTGTGTGTTATTTAGATATTTAAATATCATATATATTTTTTTGAGAATTTATTTATTTATAAATAACAAGAAAATGGCCATTTAAATAGATTGTAATGGAAAAAAATTATCGACGACATAATTTATTACGTCACTTATTGTCTGTTTTCTGTTTTTTTTTATTTTCCATTTTATTTTATTTCTCTAGCAAAATGATGATCATTTTTTTGGTCCATCTTAATTAATTATGAAAAAAAAACATCATAGATCGAGATAGTTAGATAGATGAATGGATGGCATGTTGTTCTCGATGGTTGGCCTTTTTTCTATTCATCTCGTTGTTGATCAATAGATATGATGATGATGATTATTTTCATCATTTTTTTTTTCGTTGTTGTTCATTTGAATTGTACTGTATAAAGATATTTGAACTGCCAAATAACAACACATTTATAGCTCACTAAACAAAAATTGTTTGAAGGGGGGAGGCCATTTATGATGTTGTTGATGATGATGATGATGATGATGCTTTATGAATTGGATATAGTCACCGCCACAACATTGATTATGATGATGATGATGATCGTTTGTTTTGTTGGCCAATCGATGCCGGACATCATATAAAAATGCAGGTTTGCACATCTCTCTCTATGTCTTTTTTTTAGGGCTATTGAAAATGATTGATAATCCTACAGTTTTTCGTTTTTTTTTCTACTTTTTTCAAAGAAAAAAACAAGCATCATTACTGGTCTTTTTTTCCTGTTACTATCTTTGCCTATAAGTATTTGACTTCAGCACAAAAAAAAATTTGAATATATTGATTTGACATCAGAGAATAAGATGATCGATTGAATGAATCCTGAATTTTTTTTCTTTTCTTTTCATTTGATGATCCTGTTGATGATGATGATGATGATGTTAAAATTGTCGAATCTCTTGTTTTTTTTCTGTTGATTTTACTTTACTTTTTGGTTGGATAATGATATCTGGTTGATCAAATCAATTGAAAATTCTATGTATGATAATGTGACGTTTTTTTTCTCTACATTAGATAGGAATTAGATAGGAAACATAAATATGCCGACACCACCGCAACACCACCCACCTAAATTGGACCACCATCATATCTTTATCACCATCAACGACAATGTCGTTGTCCATTAGTTGATGAAAAATTTTTGACAAATTCATTCAACATAGCTTTTTTTCGGGATATTTACACTTTTTTTTACACTTTTAAGTAATATATGTTCCTCTTTTGTGTGTGGATAAAAATTGTTTGTTTGTTTGTTGGTGGTGGTGGTGGTGGTATTCGCACGCGGATTTTACGCTTCGGATAATTCACTTTTATCAAATAACTCTCGCTATTAGAATTATTATTGTTATTAACACACTAACCTTCCAACAGGAAAAAAAAGAAACTCAGCGGCAGTCATATAGAGAATACCTTTGAAGTTTTCTTTCTTTTTTTTCTGGTTATTGTTGGTGTTTTTGCCACCGAAACAACTAAAAAAAAGTGTCGACTCAAGATGTGTGTGTGTGTGTGCGAGTTTTTTCACATGTTTCCAAAATTGATGAATAGAATTCTCATTTTTTTTCTTGCTTGGGTGTTCTTAGTTGTATTCAATTTTTTTTTCTATTTCGAAAATTGATTTTCATTCAATTTTCAATTCATATTCATTTTGGTTAGTTTTATGGAAAAAAAATCTTATTTTTTTTTGTTGTTTTCACATTTAATTTCGCAACAAAAAAGATTCAAGAGTCGGCACATGTTAGTAATTCTCATATACAACAACAAAAAAAAAATTGGTACATTTTTGGTCACATTATTTTTTCCTGTTGATTGAAAACAAATTATGGAACAAAGAATCTGTTTATGTGTGTCTGTGTGTGTGTTTGGTAGCATTTTCCGCCGATTAAATCACTCTCCCACATATATATCTCATTCATTTCGTTTTTTTTTCTTCATGAATTACATTCATAAAATTTCATTTTGATAGATATTATAGTGGGACAAGTGTCCCTTGTGTGTGTGTGTTACGATTCAATCAATTCAATTCAATTCATTCATTGCTTTTTTTTTGCCTGCTTGAAAACAAATCATTTGGACATTTGTTCCACAAGATCCAGTTAGATTTGCTGTTGTTGTTGTTGTTTTTTTTATCAATGATCGAATCAAAATTGTTATTATGATCGAATAATGATGCTTTATATTCGTATTATATTACATTGAAAGATTGATCATCATTGTGTTGACAGCCAACTGTCATCATTAAACAAAACAAAACAAAAAAAACTTTTGTTTATCATCAAATTGACGTATTATTCGTATTAATAAGAATATAAAATAGCAACTTATCATTGTTCTCAAATATATAACATTATATTCTTGAATAATTATATTTTGAACATTCTTTTTTGTAATTCTTTTTCATTGTAAATTGTCATTCGATTGTCGACATTGATTCATATGATGTTGATGATGGGTTTTCTCTCTTCTTTTCTCTCTATCTCTCTCTCTCTCCCTCTCTTATATTTACTTTCTATTATCGTTAAAGAATTAAATGGAAACATTACTGTTTGACTTGTATTTTATTCTATCATCATCATCATCATAGTCGCCATCATCATTTAGACTTGTATAGATACACAAAGAACTAATCTGATTATTTTTTTTTCTCTCTTTCTCTCCCTTTCATTTACGTGTATGTATTGCAGAAAAGACAATAGAATTTAGCCATATCCATAGAGTATTTTTTTATTTTATTTTTTTTTACATTGAAGTATATGTGTACCCCACTTGGCAAGCCAAATCATCATCATCATCAAACATCCTCTCTCTCTTGTACTTTTCAATCATTCATTCATCTAAAAATTTCATTTTTTGTTTCGAGTGATGATGCTCCAAATTTTTTTTGTTCGCATCATGTTGTTGTTATTCTGGATAATGGTAACAACCACATGATGATGATGATGATGATATTAATAATGTTGACGACCATGAATTCTTTCTGTTTTTGTTTGCCATTTTTTTCTTCAAATACACACATTATTGACAAAGAATAGAAGACAAGTGGAATGCGGTTCAATCTAAGTTTTTGTTTTGGCGGTTTTTGATATTCGATTCACGTATTTTAAGATTCATTATAATTGTGTTTTTTTTGTCTATTAATTCCCGTTATTCTTGTTTTTAAATCTTCCCTATTGATTTTTATCTAAAAAATATCATTCACAGAATGATAAGAATAATATAGAGTCACAAAATGTTTACATGCATGAATGATAATGATAATTTCTCCTATTAATGACATACATGTATAATGTTTACTCTAACTGTTTCTTGATTTCAATTTTTGTTTAATTATTGTCATTGCTCATTGGATTTTTGAATAAAATTAAATACTGACACAATTTCATATTATATGTCCTTTTTACAATTCTTTAGATATTATAGTTTGTTTGACATTGGATTCTTTTGTTGTTGTTATTGTTGTTATTATTTTCCTGTTTGTTGTAAATTTCAAACTTCTGACACATTTTTTTTTCATTTTGATTTGATTTGTGTCTATTTAAGAAGCTTTTCTTTACCGTTTTTTCTTGTTCAATCTTTTTTCTTTCTTTTGTGTTTTGCTTCTTTTTTTTTGTTGGAAATTTTTTATTTGAAAGTTTTATGTCTTATTATAATTATCATTTTCATAGATTCATCTTTTGCCGCAAATATTAAAAATAATAATAATTTTTTTCCCTTTTTCGAATGATTATTTCACTTTTTTTGCAAAGATTTCTTACGCCAAAACAAAACAAAAAAAAAGATGACAAGATGATACCCGAAAAGCTCTTAAATAATAAACTTTTCTTGTTGTTGTTTTGTTTTTTTCCAAATAAATAAAACACACAAACGACAATTGTGTCGAATTGTGTGACTTTGATTGGCGTTGAGAAATCCGTTTTTTTTGTTGTTTGCCTCAAATTCTAACCACTTTATGTTTTACTTTTTTTTCGGCCCTGTTTGAATTGAAAAAAAAAAATAAGAATTTGATGTAAGCTTTCTCAAAAGATATGTGTTGATATTTTTTTGTTGTTGTTGCTATGATTAGACAGTAAAATGGAATAAAATTATACAAACAACAACAATAAAATGAAATGATCAGAAATAACAATTGAATTTTAAAAAATTTGTTGTTGTTGTTCTTATCGATATAATATTGATTAGAATCTGGGTGACGATTACTGATATGACGGGTTTTTTTGGTATTTTTGTCCATTTATGCTAAGAATCTTGATTAATAAAATCTTGATTTTTTCTTCCAAAAAAAAAACAACAAAAATTTGCCCCAATAAAAAGCCGATTTTGTTGTTGTTGTTGTAATAAGCGCTTTAAATTATGAATGAACCAAAGATATAATTTTTTTCCTGTCAATCTGATAATGTGGTCATTATCATTACATTCATTTTTTCAAAAAATATGATTCGATATGAATGGAATCATCATCATCATCGAGGAATCCATATCAATGAAATTAGGATTGAAAGAAAAAATTTTTTCGTTATGGTTGGTTTCAATGAATGAATGAATGAAAAAATATGATTAAATATGAATGATGTAAAAAAAAAACTTACTGTAAAAATACTTAACTTTTACTAAATGCTTTACTAAATCGTATTCCTTTTATCCATCGATTCGATTCGATTTTAATTCATATATTCGATTGATTGAATCAAATATCTTAGCTAATCATTATCATCATCGACAACGACATTCGTAGTTGTTATCTTTTGTGTGTATGTTGATGCCAATCTATCATTGATGATTGGGCTAGATTTAATTACAATCAAACACAACATACACACTGCATGTGGCTATTGTGTTGATGTGAGTTTTGATTTTACTTTTTTTTTGACAGCTATTGTTTTTTTTCTATTCACATCGATGATGATGATAATGATGATTATTGTGGTGAAGTCCCATCGTTATTACCTCAATTTTTTGTTCATTGTATGACCACCACACCATGCTAATTATCACTATTGATCAACCCAGAAGCGATTGATCAAATCGTTATCGATTATGATTTTTAGGATATAGAATGAATGAATGAATGGATTTTCGAAAGATGTAATGGATGGATAGATTGATGATTATGGTGGTGATAGCGGGAGCAATCTATCAATCCATGTTTATGTTTTTTTTTTGTTTTGTTTTCTGCTTTTTAAAACATGTTTTTGATGCCTGATATTCTATTATGATTCTTGCCCTTTGACCTAATATATTTATTCATTTTCTTTTCTTTTCTTTTATTTTCATTACCACTGACAGATTTTCAAAAAACGGATGAACAACGAACACGCGAAAAACAGCTTCTCGATGAACTTGTTAAAATTGTTGACAAACGAAATGAATTGGTTCAACATTTGGATAATCAAGAAAAAGCGTAAGTAAATGTTGTGGCAACGGATGAAAAAATGGATGTTTTTTCATAACCAAAAAACAAAAAGAAAAGAAAGGAAAAACTTCCATGAACTTTTTCTCATTTGCTGACACTTTATACATTTGTTTTTCGTTATGTTTTGTTTAGGGATTTTTTATTTTATTTTTGACAAGATGTACAAATCATTTGGTGATGACAGATTCTATGTTTGTGTGTTTGTATTCTATACAAGTGTTAAGTTAAAAAACAAAATTGAACTAATCAAGTTTTTTTTTCTTCTTCTTTACTTGATTTGTCCTGTCTCATACAGATTTTTTTTTCTGATTAGAATGTAATTCAATCTATCTTTATGGTCACATTCATAGTTAATATGACTCATAACGTATACACACTTGATGATATATCCAATGGAACAACCATATATTATATATTTGAAAACAAAACTTTTATAAAGCCATTCATTTGTTTAGATCAAAGTTTTTATTTTGAGGGGGCTGATCCGATTTAAATTTGTTGTTGTTGTCGTTTTTTTTCTTTGCTTCGATACTATATTTCGGTAAATATTAACTTTTGTTGTTGTTGTTGTTGTTGTTTTGGTTGGCTATTTGGTTGAATAGATTATATTTGATTGGGATGTTGTTGTTGATCCTCCCTGTTGTTCATTTACGGATGGATAAAAACAAATTTTTCACTATTTTTCTGTGTGTGTATGTCGGTCTGTTTATATATAAAATTTTGATCATATGATCCTCTGTGGTTTATACGGTTTGTTTTGAGGATTTTTCTCCCTTCATCATCATCGTATATCCTCTATAGGATTTTCACTGTCAAGACCATGACTCTGGATCATCTGTTCAATATTGTGTTTCTGTTCAGAAAAAAATGGCCCAATGATCTGGTTGAAGGATAAAAAGAATAAAAATGAAAAAAACGTTAACTAGCCATGTGTTTATTTACTGAGAATTTTTCTGTTGGTTTTTGTTTCCAATTGGACAGAAACAAATATCTAAATAAGATGAACGAAATACGCAAACAAAAAAAAAGTCAAAATCATTCATATTATTTGACAAAGTTTTCTTTTTTTGGTTAATGAGAAATAAAAAACTATTTTTCATTCATGAACCCAAAAAAAAATGAATCTTTTCAATGAATTTGCATATTTTGATAATTAATTTTTTTCATTTTTAGGATTTTATTTTTTGTTGTTGAAGAAGAAAAAAAATTCAACAAAAAAAAAAATCCTGAATGAATCTTTGTAGTATTCGGTAACGGTTTACATTTTTCTTTTCTGTCATGACCAATACGAGATTTTCAATTTATGTGAGACACACTTTATCGTTCGCATAATTAAAAATAAAAAAAATAAAGTAAGAGAAAGAAAGAAATTTCTTCTTTCTTTCAACATCAAATATAATTTAATTGAAATAATATTCATAGCCATCATCATCATTTTCATTCATTCAAAAAAAACTTTTTCATTTTTTTCCATTTTCATTTAATTCCCTTTTTTGCATTTCATTCATTTGGTACACTTTTTATCCACACACACACACACACATTCTATTATGGCTAAATGATGTGTCGAGATTTATGTCTTCTTGGCTTTCTTTTCTTCGTATCATCATCATCATTATTATTATTATTAGTTTTTTGATTTCAACTACTAAATCCTTTTCAAGAAGTATGTTTTTTCTTTTTGCAACGAGAAAAGAAATCAAGTTTTTTTTCCACTTCTTTACTCAATTCGTGATATGTAAATAGTGAATAATAATAATAATAATAATAAAATGAATTGAAATAAACGACTAGAACGGGGTTAACAACAAAGAAAAAAAATGGTTATTGTTTAACCTGAGTTTGTTTTTGATGATGATGATGATGATGATTCTTGAGCTTTTATTCTTTTATCCAAGTTGAATATTTTGGTCAATTCTGTGAAACTCTATTGATAATGAACAAAGCAGTGAATGAGAAGAAGAAAATATAATGATGATAATAATAATTTTGATGACATCAGTGAGAATTGTTTCTCCTGTATTTCTTTTTTTATATATACACGATTCTTTCATTGATTTTTTTTAAGATGTATGCACGACATTTACGTTGGCAATGCGCAATTACTACGTGACCATCTTTTTTTCATCATTATCATCTTTGTTCAAATCGTGTGAACCGTTCATTTTTATTTTCAAATCAAAGATGGTTTTTTTTTAAACTAACTTGACGATCTTGACAAGGATGATGTTTTTTTTGATGCAAAAGTAAAAGCTATATAACACCAATGGTGGAAACCATAATAATCATTTTTTTTGTTGGCTAGGATTCATCGTAAATCATCAACAGCAAAAAAACCCTTCCATAGTAAACTACCAAAAAAAAAACGTATCCGTTTGTTCCTGCTTGCAAATTTTGTTGTTGTTGTTGTTGTTCTTAACCATCAACCAAACAAACAAATATGAAGCGAAACGATGATATTAAAGAAAAAAAAGGAAAATAAAGCAATTGAATTTCACAAGGTTTATTTTCACATAACGAAATAGAAGGGTTAATTGTTTTTTTTTCTACCAAAAGAATAATTTTAGAGTTGTTCTTTGGGTCAAAGTTTTTTTCCTGGTTTATTTGTTCAAATTTAATTTTCTCCTATTGATCATCAGCATCAGTTATCGTTTTTAGATCTTTTTTTTGCTCGCCCTTACCATATAATTATTATTCTTCGTTTTCACCCTTCATACCATTCGGATAACAGCGATAAAAAAATATCTGTTTTTTTTTGTGTGTGTGAATAAAGAGAAATAAATTATCCAACACACACACACCACAGGTGAAGAAAAAAATTCATTTTTTTTCGAATCCAGAGCCGTTGATAAGAAAAAAAAGAAATGGAAAACAAAACAAAGAAATTTTAAAATCATTTTTATATTATATAATAAGACGAACATTTCTTCTCCTTTTCTCTATATAGATTGTTGATTTTTTTGTTTTTTGTTGTTGGTCGATACCATTTTATCATCAAAACTACTTGTTGTTTTTTTTGCCATTTTAAAATGAAGCTTTTTTTCTATATTTATTTCTTCGTATCGAATCTATTTGGGAAACAAGAAAATCCTATGATGACGATTTTAGTCAATTAAATTGAGCAATTTGAAACAAAAAACAACAAGTAAAAAAAAGCAATAAAATTGGAGCAATCATCAATATACTAATTGTTCTGTGTGTGTGTTTTCATGTATAAAAATTAGAACAACTTCTTTTTTTTCAGTTAGAAATTTATTAATCAATCAGAAAAAAAAATTGATCAAATTTAATTGAGTGTATTGATCGCGTGTTTGTTTGTCTGCGTGTATCCATTCTTTTTCTGGTTGAAATTTTTCAATAGTAGATATCATTATTCTTCGATAATAATTTGACCACGCGTGTTAACTCGTGCGAACACACAAACACAAAATCATCATCCATGTTTTTGGAACACGCGTCTATTACATAGTATTTTGTCTCTTTTTATCACTGGTAAATCTATATCTTTTCTTATCTTATTTGGATCATTGCGTGTCTAACAAGCGTATCAACATCATCATTATCATTATCCATTGGTACTTTTATTTTGGTAAACATTTTAAATTGAATATCGATTAGTTTATGATCAACGATTTTAAACCTTTTTTCATAATGTTGTTGTTATTTGATTTTTTTGGAAGATGTCCTTTCCGAAGCAAAATAGTTGACCTCAATGCATACCCGTTATAAATGTTTTCATTTTTTTAAAGATTTATTCAATTATGATTTGTTTTTTGTTTGACTAATTGATTGTGTGTGTAGTATTTAGTATGGTATTGGTCAATCAACGATTCGTTAGAAAAGTTTTTTTTTCCATTCTACAAAAAAAAAGTTGCTTTTTTCTTCTTTTTTTGTTGTTGTTATTTTTGATGATTTCGTTCTACAGAGTTCAATATGTATGTATGTGCTATATATTCAATCTAATTATATTTTGAGGATTAGCATTTTTTCTGGATAATTAAATTCACATTCGACTTTTTCCCTCTCTCTCTCTTTTTTTTGTTAGTGCATTATGGTAAAATTATCGTTGTATCGTCGGCTTCGGATTGCACAGTTGTAGTTGTACGTTTTTTTTCATTTCAGTTCAATTCAGTTCAGTTTAGTTCGGTTCTTTACATCTCGTTTGAACTTATATTGCACACACATACAAATACACACTGCTCCTGGGATTCTAATCCAAAATAATTGGACTACCCGATTATTTCGTTTCTTTTAGTTTCATGTCACTATATTCTCTCTTTTTTTTTGCTGTATGTCTGGTATACTGAACAATTTTATTTTTGTTGTTCTGCCAATCTTTTTTTTTCTTCTCCATCGTTTTATTTATCGTTAGATTTGTTTTGTAACATTGCAGGTTTTTTCTTCTTTCTTCTTTGACAAACGAACGAAATGAACGATACAATATAGTACAAATCGAATATTAATTATCATCATAATAATGATGATAACAATGATGAATCTAATCTAATGTATATTGCTCATACATACATTGAGAATTTCGGTTAATTTTAATCGAAAAAATATCGAATGAATAACAACAACAACAGCAACAGAGAAAACAAAAAATCGATACATTAAATCAAATCAAAAAAAAAGATTGATGTTTTGCAATATTTTGATTTCAATTATAATACAAATAATCATTTACACACACACACACATAATATTCACTGGATTTTACTCATATATTTAAAAATAGCATTCAATTTGAATGATGTCACGCAATGGTCTATTATGGTTGATTTTGTTCGCAATTTAGTTATACATCTTGTTGTTGATGTTGATGTTGAAAGAATGTATCTTCACATCATCATTGATTTTGATGTTGCTATTATTGACATTATTTTTTATTATTATTTAATGATTTACTTCGAGTATATATTCATTCAAAGTTTAATAGTTCGCGTGGTTCATCATCATCATCATCAATGAATAGTAATTCCTTTTCGACACCTGTCAATTTCAATACTTTCTGAACATTCCTTATTTTTTTTCAATGATGATTGTCGTATCTATTTTTTTTCTCTCTCTCATTGACCTTCAAATATCTCGATCGAACGATCGATCGATCTTTGGATTCATGAAATGAAATCATTCTTGATGATCATCATCGACTTTTAGTCAATATGATTTGATGGCGTATTGAAAAAATTTTTTTAAGGTATTTTTCACGATGAGGTCTAATTTTTGTTTTCCTTCACTTGGTCCTTTCATCTTATGAATGTTTTTTTTTCATTTGTTATTGTTGATGATGATGATCATGAGTAGTTTGGTTGGCGTCGTCGTCTTTGTTGAATATAAAATTTGAAGAGTAAGCAATCACTAAGGAATTTTTTTGAGGTCGATGAAGAAGAAGAAAAAAAATACGATCTCGATCGATTATCGAAAATGACATATCATTTTCCCCTCTCCACCTGAATAGTTTGATCATTATTGGTTGGCCAAGTTGGTGGTTTATTGGACATCCATCCATCCATACAAGTCAACCAACATCGTTTCGTACATCTATTCATCAAATGAATTGATGTAGCCATGGGCGCTTATCTTTTTTTTTCTTATGGTTGATAACAAAAAAAAAGTAAAGAAAATAATCTTGAAAAGTATCATGGTCTTGCCGCATCACTAAATAAATTGATAGAGAGCTCGCGCTAACCATTGGTGGCGGTAAATATATTGCGGGCGCTGTCCATATCAATCATTTATTTGTAATGATTATATATGAAATGATGATGATGATGATGACCAAATAGCATCCTTGTTTGACTGAATGACTGACTGACTGACTGGATGGGCAAATGATTTTTAATTTCTTTTTTCCTAATGAGACATGATGTGATCATTCACGAATCGACGAACTCGCGATCAAATGTTGTTGTTGTTGTTGTTTTTTTTTCGATAGGGCCACTAAGAAAAAAAAAATTCACATTCATCCAGTATTTGTGCTTATGATGAATTCATATCTCAATCGATTTCAATTGATCATCATTTTTTTTCCTAAACACGTCACAATTTCACATATCTTTAAAGAGCAATTTTTCACTTATATCATTCTTCTAACGATAATAAACCGATGGTTTCAATGATGATGATGATGATGATGGTCACTGATCATATTGAGCATACTCAGCATCATCATGGTGTTGAATTGTTGTTATTATTATTATTGGTTATCGTTATTTGATGTTTTGGTATGCAATGATTCTTTTCGTGCTTTTTTTTGGTAAATACCTTTTCTTGAAAAAAAATTAACACACGCTGTGATATTGCTGATTTTGTTTTTTCTCTGCACTTTTCTATGGCAAGCACATCAAGTAAAGATCATCATCATTCGTATACGAGCATTGGATATCACATCGGCTTTTTTTTCTTAACCAATCGATGTATCCATTTGTATGAACGATTTTTCGGCCATTTAACCCAAAGATACCGGCAAAGAGAGAGAGAGAGAGAGAGATGAATACATTGAAATCCGTATAAAATTCAACAAATTCCTAAATCTATCCTACTTTTTTAAATGTGTTTATAATGTTACTGTGTATTTAACATGTCACATGGTTATATATATAATTCTTTACCATTTTCATAATAATCGATTTGATTGACATTTTATTTTATTTTTTTTTTGTTTCTTTTTTTTCTTGAATACAGAATCGAAGAAGATGAATTGGTGGAAAATCAAACACAACAATCCATACCACTTATCGATCCTACAGCCGATAAAAATTGTGTTATACAATGAAACAAATGAATGGACAAAAAAAAATGCTAAACCTAAATCGATTATGGACGTAAAAAAATTAGAAATTCCTGCATCTAGTCAATGGATACACGCCGTTATTTCTCACTTGACCATTTATCAATTCCAAAATCAAAAACAAAACAAAAAACACTCTAATCATATAACACACACGCATATATTTACTACTAATAAATGTAAAAATGTTTAAAATAAAAATAATTTGTAATTTGAGATTTTCAATAAATGATGATAAAGAACAAAATAAAAACCTTTTCTAATTGATTGATTGGTGGATAGTTGTAATATGGTGATTGATGAATGAATGAATGAATGGTAATTTATATAGGGCATTGCATATTTTTTTTCATTGTTTAACTCTCTTTTTTCAAAATAAAAAATTCAAAACAAAAAGTTTACATTGATTTTTTCTCACGCGCACAAAACGATGTAGATGTTGCTCTCTTATTACGATTCTGATTATGATTATTATTATTCCTGGTGTTTAGCCTGGTTTTTTTTTGTCCCACACATTCTAAACATTGATGGCGATAAATTTTTTTCTTTCTTTTCATTTTTTATTATATTTTGATGGTTGTAGTGGATTTACTTCATAATTTTTTTATTATTATTTTATTTTTTATCTTTGGTCTTTCAAAAAAATAAAATACGCAAAATCATCACGATTCTTTTTTTCATGAATGTTTTTGTATGTCCATATCAAAAACATTCATGAAAAATGATGAACGCTTGATAACGAAAAGAAAAGAAAAATTGTCAAATTTCAAACAACAAACGATAGATTTATATTATCATTATTATTATTATTATATAACACAAATACAAAACAAACACATGAACCATACGATAACAAGGTTTTTTTGTCGGATGGATTTTTATTTTTTGGGATTTAAATACGGATGTTTAATCCATGACACATGTCTATTGATTCGTTGCAAATTACTTGACATAATATACCCGAATAATAATAATAATAATATTTTGACATGTAAATGTATAGTGTTCAATAATATTTCGGATATTTCACGTTGTTCGATATGTGTTTTTGTTGATGATGATGACACGTGTTTATTTATTCTCACATTTCATTTTCCCTTTCGTTTTTTCACATCATTTTATTATGATTGCTTCTTGTTCTGGAAAGATTAATTAGCTCCATTTTTTTTCTTCCATTGATTCTGAAATTTTCCAAATATATTTTTGTTTATTTCGTTGAAATTCTATCTAATTTTACTTTGCCGAACAAAAAAAATATTCGGCAAATTAATTAGTAACAAGAAATGTTGTTCGTTTATTGGCCATTCGTTCAATCGAATCGAAAAGACATGTCATTCTTTTTTTTGTTCTTACGTTGAATATCAAATTTCCAATATGTAGTTTTGGAAATTAATTTGTGATAAAATTAAACGTGTGAACAATTTTTCTTTTTTTTCGGTTCATTTGTGGGTTTCATATTTTTTCAATTTATGGTTTTTTTTTTGATGAGAAAAATCAAAATGATCAATAAAATGATCATTATCGAATCAATTTTTAAAATTGATTTGAAAATTTTTTCTCGTTTTTTCGAATTGGATTCTATAAATCGAAGATGAAATAGCTTTCAACATTGTTTGCTTTCTGTTGAATTTTCTTTTTTTATTTATTGTCAAACATATGTGACATGATCGATTTTGTCAGCCAAAATGTCAATTTCATCATCCTCATCATCATAATCAAAATGATTATTATCATGATCGTCATCTGGGGTCTAGCAAGAAAAAATATCTACGTTTTTTGTTTGTATCACACCAAAATGAATAAATTATCATAACAACAATGCAAAAAAAAAGTCATCACATATCAAATTAGCAGTCATTTTGAATGATTTTTTTTTTAATATATAAAGATTGAGAATTGTTGTTGTATAAAACATAGATTCATTCAATGTCTATGAAGATGTTCAACGAATGACATTTGAAATGCCCTCCTATTGTGTCTTGTGTGTGTCTGTTTGTCATGTCATGAATTGATATTGGTAGTGGGCACAGGTGACCTACCATCATGTGAATATATTCATGGATGGTGACTATGATGATCGACATTCCATATGTCAGATGATATTTTATATATCAAGTATTGAAATAGAAATAATAATAATGCAAATTTTTTGTCCATTTCGAAAATATTTGTCTAATTGTTTGATTGATCGATATATTGATTCGAAATATAGATTTGGTATTTAAGATGACCAGATGATGATGATAATCAATTTGGCTTGATTCAAGTCAACAATAAATATCATTTCATTTTGCTCCGTTATATTTACTTCCATTGATTTTCTGGATATCTATCTGATTTGAAAATAAGATTATCACCATCATAATCATCATACATCAATTCATTATCCTTTTTTTTCATTTCAACAATCACAAAATATGCCATTGATATATTCTTCATAATTCATAATGAAATCCTATTCAACCAATCGATTTTTCTATTCAATACAATATTGATGATTTTCATTTGAATAAATTCATTCATTCATTGATTTTTAACTGGTTTAGGTTAAATCATCTATAACTTTTTTCCGAACTGATTCTTGTTGTTTGTGTTTGTCAAACTGATTTATTTTTACAATCATCAAACGTCATTAGGTCATACGACTTGATTCGAACAAATGAATGATCGAATTAAATTCGCACATCGATTATTATTATTATTATGAACATGTGATTTGATTCAAAAATATTTCTCTCTTTTTTTTGGGGGGGTTTCTTTTCCTACTAATTTCTTATTCGTTTGATCATCAAACAACATTGAGTTAATTAATCAGTTGGCCTTGTTAAGTATTTTATACGCTCAATTAGTAAATTGATTTCATCGTATCATTACGCCAAAATCAAAATCTGAATGGCCATTTGAAATGACTTGGTGAAATGGAAAAAAAACTAAAAAACTAAAAAATTCCAGAACTTGCAATTAATGGCTAAAACGATTGTGAATTGAAATAAAAAAAAATATTCGTTGTATCTAAATAAGTTGAGAGTTTGTTTGCTCATAATATTATTATTCGTCGTCGTCGTCGTCGTCGACAAACATACAAAAACACTGAGAGAACGACTAGACGACCATTCAATGATGATGAAGACCCTATACCCGTAAAAATATATAAATTTTTTTTCACTCTCGGTAAATGTGTTAATGCAAACCCACACACACACACATACAAAAGTTATTTGATTCTTCAATCTTACATTGGTAATGTTTCTCTCTCTCTCTCATCATCATCATCAGTGTTTGCTGAAATTCAATTATTCTTAATGCGTTTTCCATTCATCTATTAATATATACGCATAATGCCATCACAATTGGAAAAAAACACAACTACTACTGTATATGTGTATAATGTTTGCAAGAATCTCAAAATGATAAAAAGTCAATATTTGTCGACATACACATAGCCGGTCCATTGAGGAGTAGAAAAAAAACGTCGCCACCAATAACACCACCACCACCATCATCATCATCATCATTATTACAGTCATCATCAACATTATAAAAAAATAAGATCCAAATTTTGCTGCATCCAACACAATCAATATACACTGAGACGAGATTTTATATTCTTTTTTTGTTATAGTTCCCTATTAGACTCGGATATTGGAACAAGTACCAACAAAAAAAAAATCCATTGAATTCTGATAAAATAATGCTATTGTTAGTTTTAGGTTTTAGATTGCTACTAGTTATTCTTTCTGGTTGTTTTTTTTTTGTTTTGGTTCTGCATCCACATTGATACGAGAAAATTTGTTTCATTTTTTTTCTTTTGCACGCGATGCTTTCAAACAATAAATGATTGAATGAGTGCGCCTCTTTTTTATCTAAAATTTATTTTGCAACACACTTTTATCCAATGAATTTTTTGGATTTTTTTTGTTAGTTCAATATTACGAAAACATCACCATCATTTTTTTTAAAAAAAACATGAAAGACATGACACTTGTGATTGTTTACCATTGTTGTGAAACATTTGATTGTACTTATCCGCTTGCCATTTTAATTGAATGTTGGTGTTTTTTTTTTGTTTGTTGATGTTTGTGCGTGTGGTGGGGTTGCCAATGAATTTTGAACGATCCAAAAACAAAAGTCAATGAGAACTTGTTTGTCAATCCAAATGTTTGTTTGTATATGTGTGGGATCGTATATATTAAAAAGCCACACACATGGATTGTATAAACAATGTTTTATGAATCTGGTTTCTAATTGATTATTTGTCCAATAAATAGTCCATCTGCCAACTAGCGAATCCTTTATTTTCCGAATATTCAGCAAAACTTTTATAAATTTTGATGACAATTTCCTTTAAATTAATCTATTATTATCATCATTATCGATCATCTTTTTTGGATAATAATTTTGTTCGTATTTTACTAAAAAAAACGCGCATAAACTGTTTGAAGAATACGAATGCGCGCAATGTTTTTATTTGCGAGCTAGATGCATCGTCGTAGTCTTCGTCTTTATCGTGGCCATCATTCTAGTATTGGACCATCACACACACCACTGTGCATAGCTAAACGACGTCATTTGAATGATGTTTGATGCTTCTGTTGTTGTTGCTGTTGTCTTTGTCGTTCCATTCCATTATTGCATTTAAATTTAAAAATGACAGAAAACTTTGAATCAAAGATTGTTATTTTCCATTTGAAATGATGAATAAATAAAAATCAACAGCAGGAACAAAGAAACGAAGATGAAAAACACGATCAAACAACAATTTTAACATCGAACGGGCATGGCTTGAAATCAAAAAGGCTGCCTGGCTAGCTTCTCTCTCTCTTCTTTTTCTTTCTTTATTTTAGCTGCCTGGCTTTTGTGGCTATTTCACTTGTCTTGAAGATCATTGAATCGAAGTTTGGTGTTCAAACATACGCATAGTCGATGCATGATGTGGTCACAAATATATCTCAAACATCAGGATTTTCATTTTTGTTTGTGTTTTCAAAATTCATTTCATCTCA